ATAAAAAAAAAATAAACAATTAAATATTGTTGATTAAAAATTTAATATTCAAAAATAATAAGAAAATATAGAAATAAAAAAAGATATTTAATAATAAATTAATATTAATTAATAAAATAATATTAAATAATAAGATTATTATAAAAAATAAAATAATAAACAATAAAAATTTAATAATTAAGATAAAGTAAATATTTATTAATAAAATAATATTTTAGAAAAAGATAATTATTAAAATTATAATAATATATAAAAAGCAGATAATATTTAATAATTTGAAATTAGATAATATTCAAAAAATTTTTAAAAAAAGAAAATATTTAATAATATGAAATTAAAAAAAAAAGAATAATATAATTGAAAAAATAAAATAAATATTGTAAAAAATAAAATTAAAATATTAAGAAAGAAAATAAATAAGATAATTAAGAAAATTAAAAATAAAATAATAATAATAATAATAATAATAATAATAATAATAATAATAATATTAATAATAGATTTTATATTAATAAAAATCAATTGAAAGTAATGATAGTTTAAAAAAAGGAAAAATATGTCCCAAATTTTATAATTATTCAAAGGAAGAATGGGGTAACATAATATATTATTCTTATATATATTCTTACAAATATGGTTTTGAAAAAATACCTTCGTGGTTAAGGATTTGTATTATATTTTCTTCTATATTATTACTTTTAAATTTATCAAATATGTTTTTTGATTAAATAGATGAAAATTAATAAGAAAATATAGGATATAAAATTTCTAAAGATAAAAATTAAATATAATAAATTTTTTTAACTAGTATATCTATATATGGACTATATTAAATTTCTTTTATTATAAGTTTTATTATTATTCTAATTTTAAATAAGTTATTATGTTATAAAAGGTGTATTATTTTATTTAATTTTATGATTTAATTATTTATATATTCAATTAGTTTTATTAGTATTATTTTTAGTGGAAATAATTTTTTCTTTTAATGTATTTATGTAACACTTCTTTGTTGTTTTTATGAACTTATGATAGAAACCTTTTTTATTTTAACTGCTAAAAAATTCTAAATTACTATACTTTTTTTATTAATAAGATGCAAAAAATACGATATATGAAAAAGTTAATATGTATATAAAAATATTAATAATATTTTATTTAAATTAATTACTTGTAAAAAAAATAAATTAATAATTTTATCAATTTTTATATAATATTTATAAATAAAATTAATAAAATATTTTATTTATATATGAAATAATTAAAAATGAATTCAAATAAATTATATTAATCTTCATAAAAACAATAAAATCACATTTCCTTTGATAACCTACTTTTAAAGGCTAATTTAGATGGTGTTTGTTTAGATTTTGATAAGGATTAAGTATTTTAAGATAATAATTATTAAATGAATTCTCATTCTACCTAACAAATGATTTTTCAATCATCTTAAAATTTAAAATAATCATTAAAAGAATATCGAATTAAATAACATTTAATTAAAGTTGATAGTTAATTTCGCAAAAAAATATAAAAAAAATAAGATAACCATGTATTTAAATTTTTAGTATTATTTGTTTTTAAAAAAAAATTAAAAAAATAAAGGTTAAAATATTGATTAATAAATATACTGATACTGGTGAAGATTTTAAAAATGCGAAAAATTTATATGATCGAATTGAAAAAGAAAACCAAATTCATTAAATTCAAAAAGAAACAGATGAAAATATTTAAGAAATATCTAAATTTTTTAAAACTACAACTTAAATATAAACCAACTTTTCTGGAGTTTCTGATTAAATAAGAGATATAACAAAAGCTTTATAATAAAAAAAGTTTGACACAGATATAATGCTTGCAAGTATATATTTTTTTGTTTATTCTATTGTTTATTAAAAATAAAAGAATAAAATATGCTTGTGTGCGATAAAGAATAATATGAGGAGATTTATGGCGATTCAGATTAAGAATTACTTATAATAAAATAATATTTAGAATAAGAATTTATAGATATGTAAAAAGAAACTGCACAAACAATTTTAGATTATATAAATAAAGTTTTAAGAGAAAGATAAAAAACTAATAAAAGTTAAAAAGTAATAATATGTATATATATTTTTTAAAAAATCAAATATAAAAGAATCAGAATAATAAAATAAATTCACAAAAAACAGACCTAATATAATAAAAAAACGTTCAAGAAACCTAATTATTAAAAGAAAAAATTTTATTATTGGAACAAAAAATAGAAGATTCAACTGTTGAATTAGACAAAAAGCAAGAAGAATTAAAAGATTTAAAATTCCAAGTTGAATATTAAGATAAAGATATTCAAAAATTAAGTAATGAGCTTTATTTATAAAAAGATGATTTTAATAAAGCCGAAGTAGATAAAAGAGCGTTATAAACCTAATATGATCGTTTGAAATAATAACAAGACCAAAATGTTATTCAAAAAATAAAAGAAGACGGCGAAAAACAAAAAACAAACCAAAAATTAAAAAAATTAGAAGAGCGCTTTTAATAAATAGAATGTTAAAATTAGTAAAAAAAAAAAAAGAGCAATAAATATAAAAAAAAAGTTCTTTAAAAGAAGAAATATAAAAACTATTGTAATTAGTAAAAAATACAGATTAAAAAGAACAAGAAAATCTCTAACATTTATGTCAATTAATAGCCTAATCAGATATGTCTCCTGAAGAATAAATAAAGGCTTTACAACGATTATAATAATTGTATACTGATGGTACTTTAAATTAAGATAGGTAAGAATTAACCAATAAAATGATCTAATAATTAATCTCTGGAGACTTCAAATAATTATATATTGATAATAATAGTTATGAATCTCAAAATATAAACTAAAAAAAAACAACAGGAAATCAAAAAGACAAAAAAACCAATAGTAATATCGAAAAACTTCAATAATAAGAAATTTTAAGTAGTATAGATTAAATAAGCATGTAATAAATAGAAAAAGAGGAAGAAGTATAAAAAAAGAAAAATATAGTGAAGAAAAAAGTATTTAAAACAGTTAAATAAAAAATTATTGTCAAAAACGAAAACGGAGATGATATAGAAGTAGAAGTGGAAATCCAAAAGGAATTCGAGGAAGACGTCGAATTGGATTTTTCCCTTTCATCTAAAATAAATAGTTAATAATCAATTAAAATGATGGGTAAAAACGGACAATTAACTAACAAAAAATCTATTAATATCGTTCCAGGAATTAATAAAGATAAACAGAAAAAAATACAGTCTCAAAATTCGAATACTAGTAATCGAAAATAATCAACTATATCTTCCAGAACAACTACTAAAACTAAAAATTTCAAATAAAATGAATAAAAAGATTAATAAAATATCCCGGTATATACTGAGCTTTATAAAGAAATCGAACCATAAGACGGATATAAGGAAAAATAAATTTAAATTATCGGAGAAGATACTTAAATGAGAATTGTAAATGAAAAAATACCAAAAATTGTTAACAAATAAATTCTTGTATAAGATAAAATCGAAAATCCTTCAGATTCTATGTTTGTAGAAGAAGAAGTGGAAATTGAAGAAGAAATAATAGACGAAAAAACTGGGGAAAAGAAAATCATTAAGAAAAAAATAAAATAAAAGGTGCCTATATAAAAAATATAAAAAGATATGTTAAATAATTTTTCTAAAAAAGATGAAGAAATCGAAGAAATAGTAACAGATTTAAATACTGGAGATAAATAAATAAGCATAAATAAAATAAAAAAATAAATTTCAGTAGAAAATAATACTCAAAAATATGAAAATATAAATAAAATTTAATAATAGAATTCTTCTATATTGTAAAAAAATATTGATTTTTCGCAAAATCAAAAAAAAAATTAAGAATAGTAAAAAAATATAGAAAATGATATTAATATAAAATAATAATAATAGTAATAATTATCATTAACATAATAAAATTCCTAATTATATAAAAATAACAAATCAAAAAGCACATAAGTTGAGCCTTTTTATCTCTGGAAGGCTTTTGAGTCTTTACTTTTTGAATTAGATACAAAATAAAAGGATATATAAAAAATATATGAAAAATACTTCGAAAACTAGCAAAATTAAGGAATTCTTTTTATTTTAGAATAGGAAAACGATTAAAGAAAAAATGCTTATCTGTAAAGAATTTAATAAAAATAAAAAAACGAAGAAATTCTTCTTTCATAGACTAAATAATACTTTTTTGATGAAAATTAAGTTGAATGCGATATTTTTAACAATTCAAATGTTTAATAAGATTAAAATGAAAATAATAATTAAATTCTAGACTAAAAAAACCTACTTGCGGAATCTACAATTAAACGAATTTATGTATAATTAAATAAAAGAAATGATTAAAATGCCCAATAGGTTAAAGATTTAATAAGGAAATATTACAATAAAGCACATATTTCTCCAATTTCTTATGATTAATTTAAAAAATTTTATATTAAAATAGTCACTTTACATTTCAAATGTGGAGATAATTGTCCTCATTTAAGAAGATTTTTCAATAAAATTGGATTTACAACAATCAAATATAGTTAAAGAAAAGAAATTAAACCTTTTAAACAGATATTAAACCTTTTTGATTAAAATAATAAAAATAATTATTATATTAAAATTTTAAATAATATTTCTAGTAATTAGCATAAATAATATACAGACACAAGTACTAATAGCGGATATTTAAGTAATAGAGTAAAAAAATAAGTTGATACATCCGAAAGTACTTTTAAATTTATTTTTTGTAATTAATGAAATAATATTTATTTTACTAAATATATTAAAATAAGTTATTTATATATTATATATCTTTTTGATTTTTATTAATTAATTAGTATTAAATTATTATATTTATTTTTATTAGGAAAAATTAATATATTATTAATATTTTTAATATTCTTAATAATTTATATATAAAAAATGATATAATAAATATAAAATTTTTATATATAATATTTATAAATGAAATATTTTTTTCATAATAAATAATTATTCTTTACTAAAAAATGTTCTGTAATTTCTTAACTAGCATATCTTTAATTATTTTTATTTTGTTATTTTATTTTACATCTATGATTTGACTGAAATAATTATAAATTAAAAATTTAAAAATATAATATAGATATAGATATTTACTCTATAAATATATCCGTAAAAATCTTTATTTTCTAAATTTAATTATTTAAATTATATTTCCCATTTTTATCTAACTAAATAAAAAATAATAAAATTATAAATTATTTTTTATAAATACTTTTTCCAATATATATTTTTCCTTATTCGATTTCTTCTTATTCTTAAGAAGTTTAATTAAATTCAAATTTTTTAAGTCCAATACAATTCATAAACTTTGAATAAAAATCGAAAATATTAGCCAAAATTAACAATACTAAAATAAAAGGAAAACAATACATATTCGCCTTTTCAAGAAAAGGTATTTCATCAATCTTCCCAATAACGTATTCAAATGCAGAATCATTAATTTTTAACATTCTTATATAATTATAAGCTATGGGAGCAGAAACTCTTGAAAAATTACTAAAGTTTATTTTTTATAAAATGTATATTTTATATATATCAGAAAAAAATTATCATTACATACTAAAAAACATTAAACTAGCTGCATCTGTTTATTTATTATTATATAATCCATAACTTCCAGCAAATTTAAAAATAAATAAACCATAAAAAGCGCAATAAGAGATATATATTAATGGAATAATTATTATAATCTTTTTTATGTATTAATAAAATATATAAAAAAAAAAAAATACATATGTAATAATCGAATTATTAATAATATATTTAAATGGATTGGGTAAACTTGGAATAAAAATACTAATTTCCTCAAAGAAAATAAAAGTAGATAATAAAAAGAATATAATACTAAAAATTTTCTTTATTTATTTTAATAATCTACAATTCCAAATATAATAAAAATAATCATAAATAGCTCCTAATCTACTTTTTGAGCAAATATAAAATATGCTTTTAATATTTTTTGATTCTGAATTATTTGTATTTATTATATCTTCGTAAAATATTGCTTTGTCAATAATATCATCAAGTTAAGTTTCTATTCTTTTAATTTAAAATGAATTATTTTTTATCTATTTGTTTAATTGTATTAATCTTTCATATGTAAATTCTTCTTTATTGGTAATGTAATCCTTGTTTTATTTGCAATAATTAATTATTTTTTAAGGAACACTTTCTAATATTATATTTATTTATTCTTTATATTAATTATTTATTTTCAAAGAATAAAACACTAAATAAACTTAATCTTCTAGTTTAAGTTTAACTTTTTATTTTTATTCAAATAATAAATGAGCTTTAAAATAATAATAACTTTTTTTTAAATATATAAATGTAATAAAAATTAATATAAAAAAGTACTCTAATAATAATTAATAATTATATTCCCTCCACAATCTTTTAGGAATTGCAACTAATCCATGACCTAATAGTAAAACAACTAATAAAATACCACTATTTTAATAAAAAAATATAAATAATTAAATTTACATAATATTAGTTATATATATACAATCCATTAGACAAACTGATCAATAAACCTTAAATATCATATTTAGTAATTTTATTTTAATACATTAGATATACAATAAATCCAACTAATAAAAAAAAAGCAATTAAATATATTTATAAATTTTTTATAATTGATTTTTTAATTTTTTCTTATTTTGTGAATTCTCCTGCTTCTTCATATTCTTAAAAAAAAGGAAGAATAAACCTTTAAATAATATTTTAAAAATTTTATCATATATTTTGATAAAATAAAAAGAAAAATTATTTATAAATATAAAGATATATAAATAAATATATATAATAAAAAAATATTAAAATATATATAAAATTATATATAAATATATATATATATATATATAAAAATATAATATATTAATATTTTTATCATAATAATATAATTAAATATACACAAATGTATATCATTTTTTTTTAATTTTTATATAATTATATAAATATATATTTATTCACAAAAAAATATGCAAATATATATTTATACATTTATATATTATAAAATAATTTTTATACCATGTAAATAGAAATGTAGTCCAATATATAACTTACCATATAAATGCAATTTATTTGTTATTTATATTTTCTAATGTCTATATTTAAAAATCAATAAACACAAAAATTTATTTAATACATAAAATGAATTTTTTTATTATTTTATATATATATATTTGTTTTTTAAATATTTTTAGATAAAATCTTAAATATTTGTTTTTTTTTACGTATTTAATATCTACAGGCAAAAGAAAAATAAACGCAAAAGATAATAACCATGAGAAAAAGCAAATAGCTTTTATATGGAAATATATACTTTCTGCCGCATATTTTTTTATTAAATATACTAAATAAAACAATAATAAGGTAATTTAAATAATATACGTCAACATTTTTTTTTATTATTAATTTTATAAATTTTTATAATTTCAAAACAAAAAAATAACTAAAAAATTATTTATTATATTTAATAAAATAAAAAAAATTAATAAAATATGTAAATAAATTCAAACATATATGATTGGCTTCGATAATTAAAAATTATTTAAGGTCCAACTAAACAATTACAAAATCAAAAAATATACATAGAAGAAAGGCAAACAAAAAAATTTTAAAGCGGATATACAATAGGAAGCATTTTAAAAGCAGTAGCATCTGAATATTAATTAATATAAGCACTAAACAATATAAAAGATATTCAAAATCCAGCTGGTAGAGTTCAAAACTGGTTAATAATATAACAAGTATTAAAATAAATGGACTATACTTTTGAAACGGAAATAAAAAGTTTAATAATAGCAGGAGATATAGACTTAATAGTATTATTATTATAAGATATATATGAGAAATTTGTTAAAGAAAAAAAACCTTCATTAATTACATTATAAGATATATCAAATAAAGAAAAAAAAAATTATTAATTCCTTTATAAGATATATCAATTTCAGATACAATTTTAGAATTAAAAAATAATTTAAATGAAAATACATAAAAAAATGAAAATAAATAAAAAAGTGATAATATACAAAAAAATGAAAATACATAAAATAACGAAAATACATAAAGAAAAGAAAATACATAAAAAATGAAAAAAACAATATAAATGAAAGTAATACTATTAAAAACGAAAAAATAGATTATTATTAGTAATCTAAAATTAATAATTCAGAGGACCAAAAATAAGACGAAGAAGAAAATTCGTTAATTTATAATAATTTAGATAAAAATAAACATTTATAAGATTCTTAATCTCTTCTTGAATTTATAGTTTTAGGTTTAATAAAATACATTGATTTAAAACCAAAATAAGTAAATAAATTTATATATATAAATATATATATATATATATATTTTTATATATATTTATTTATATATTTTATTTTTTATATATTTAATTTTTAAAAAAAGGTAATAGGATTATTAGCTAATAAAAACAAATACTTATCTATTGCTTTAATAAAAGGTTTATAGGACGATTTTTAAAAATTAAATACATGGCTCTAATAAATATATGTTAATATAAAAACTTGCCTAATTTTTATAAGACAAACTCAATAAAATCTATATAATTTCCTAAATATACTCCAACCAGGTCTCTAATCAAAAAACGAATAAACGTCTTTATGGGCAAGCCGAATAATATCTAAAATAGCATTCGAATTAGCCTAAACAGATATTTAACCATAAATATATGATTGGTTTATAGAATAAAATGGTGGTTTATAAAGTTGCATATTGAGTGCTTAAAGGCATAAAGGAGTAATAATGAATATAGTGTAGATAATAGTGGAGATATCTAGATTTAATATATGTGATTTATTAATAGTTTAATTAAGAAAATTTACTGAAAATATTAATTCTTATATGAGATTTGTATCGTTATTATTTCCTTTTATTGCCGAACTTTAAGTTTTTAAAAAAGAAATTATTCAAAATCGAATTATTGAGTTTTGGATATAAAATTCTTTATCAATGGCTGCTTTTTCACCATTAAAAAATAATTTAAATGACAGAGTATGTGCAATTTAGTTACTCTGTGATATTTGGATTTCTACCAGGGAATGGCTAGAAGAAAAAGGAGGTAAATTAAACGAAATAATACTAGATATATTGAAAAAATCAACACAAAGTTCCGAAAATAAAGCTTTATAAATTCATGCTTTCGTACATTTGTTTAGATTATTAAATGTCTTAGCTGAAAATAAAGACCCTTGGACTTCTTTAGTATATAAAAAGCTAACTTTTGGGTTTATTGAACATATATAAGATGTTTAAATGAGGGAGTTTTTATTAAGAAATTTCGCAAATTTATTCCAAAAATTCAATTAAATGCCTCCTGATGTACTTTTAGACCCTATTATAAAATCAGCAAGGTTAAATTAATTTAATTAAATAAATATATGCGACATTTAATTTTTCAATGAAATATCAGAACATGAAGCAATTACAGTAAAATTGGGAATTTATTTTTTAGATTTTTTAACAGAAATTTACTTCAAACATGTAAATTGGAGTCAGTCTTTATTAAAAAGTATAGGAAATTTAATAGAAAAATTTTCAGAAAATCAGATTTTTTAAGAATATTTAGAAAAATTATCATTTCTTGCATTTGATTAAATTGTAAAAAATTTCATAGAAAACATTAATTTATAATAATAATAATAATAATAATAATAATAATAATAATACTAATTATAACAATAATTTTAATTAAAACAATAATGATAAAAATATTTATAATTAAAATAATGATAATGATATTTATAATTAAAATTTTAACATTAATAATAATATTAATTAAAATAATGAAAATTCTAATAATAATTATAATAATTTTTAAAAAAATGATAATTAAAATTAAAATAATGATAATAAAAATTAGAATAATGATAATAATAATTATTTAGAGTAATTTTTTGGAAGTAAAGATATTGTATTAATTTTTAAACAAAACTAAAGGGCATTAATTGTAGAATTAATTAAATTTATAATAGAAAGAAATATATATAGTATTAATTAAAACATATTTCATAAATGCTTAGATGTTTGCATATTATTAGAAGGATAAGGTATCTTTTACAAAGGATTTTTCCAAATTTTACTTTTTTTTACTCATGATCCAAATTAAGCCTTATTAAAAAAAAAAGAAGAAAAAATTGATGCTTTTGATAGGTTCAAAAATAATGAAATCCTTAACAATTTAAAATTTTAATAAAAGAATCAACAAATGTTTGAAAATGAAAATTAAATCTATAATGAACAATTATTTTAATAAAATTAATATGATAATAATAATAATAATAAAAAAAGTCTATTTAATAATTTTATAAAAGATATTAATAATAATTAAAAAAGTTTACCTATTTTTGATGAAGAGAATATAAATGAGGATTTTCTATACAAAAAATATGGAAATTTGAAAAAAAATAATGAATACTTAAATAATTTACCTTAATCTTAATAATATAATTTTTAGATATATCAATAATATCCAATATAATAAAATTAAATATAAACATAATAATAATTATTAAACTAATAATAATAATAAAAATCATTAATATTATAAAATATTTAATAATAATAAATAAATCCCAATTAAAATAAAATAAACAGCTTCTAAAATATAATCAGTAAATCAAATATATAATAAGAAATTATGAATAAGAAAAAAAACCGAATTAAAAGAAAGCAAATTTAAACGAATTCTCTTAATAATGTTTATACGAAGAAAACGAACTAATTAAAATATTCAATTAAAGAAACATAATAAAGGAGAAAATAGAAATCATTAAAATCGATAATAATGAAGATGAAAATATAGAATTTCGTGATTATTTTTCCTTCGAATTCGCCTTATAAAAAAAACATTAGAAAAACTTTGAGGAATTGTACTAAAAAATAGCCTAAAAAAAACTCTAAAATAAATAAAATGCACTCATATATTATCCATAAATAACTGCTTTTTGCCAAAACTATAAAATACCAATTAAAAAGGAAATTTTAAATTAAATACTTGCATAAATAAATCCCTCTAAAAATACAAATAACTAAAATAATTAATAATATTTAACTTTTTAAGAATTCACTATACTAATTTTATAAATTTCCTATTAAATTTTTAAAAATCTTAGAGCATAACCATTCATGTATTTATTTTTTATTTATATTCTAAAAATAAAAAAAAAGTACTTATATAGATAATTTCTTTCATTATATAGCATCTAAAGATAAAAAATATTCCCAATAAACACTCGAAATATATCGTTTTAATAATGCATTAAAAGAAAACCCAACAAAAGAAATTCCGTAAGACTTTAAAACACAATAAGTTGAAGATTTTTGCATAAAACCTATATTTGATTCATCTAATATATATTTTTTAGCTCCTAAATTTTCTATTTCATATTAAATAATAAGTGATATATTTCTCTAACTTTTTGATTTTTCAATAATGGAAGGATTTCCTACAATACGGTAGATACCTCAAATAAAAAATTAATAAAAAATCCAAACTTTCCATAGGAAAAAAAAAAGTGTACATAATTTATCAATAATAGAAAACAAAATTGAAAAAAACAAAAAACTCCAAAATGAATCCGAAAAAAAAAAAGCAGAAATTTCGCAAAGAAAATTTCTATAGAGGTAAAAAGAGCTTTCTGACGAACTTCAAAAAGCACAACTTAAAAAAAACTAATAAAAACAAGAAAAAACGGAACTTCTAATGCAATAAAAAATCGAAAAAGATCTTTTGGAGTAATCCAAAAGGCATAAAATGCTCGAAAAAAGTCAAAAAATCAAAGAAAATATCGAGAAATATAAATAAAGGAAATAAGAAGAAAGCCAAAAAGCTCAAATCCTGAAAATCGAGTCATAAAAAAGTCTCGAAAAATAAAAAAAAGTATAAATAAATGATTTTTTATAAAAACAAAAAAATCTTCTTGAAAAAAAATTTCAAAATGAAAAAGAAAAAAAAATTGAAAATAATTAAAAAATTCAGTAATAAATCTAAAAAGATAAAGAATTTTAAAAAAAACACAAAAAAAAAAACCAAAAAACAACTGAAGAAAAAATAGCCTTAAAAAATAGAGAAAATATATACAAAAATGGTTTAAAAAATCTCTAAAATAATCCACAAATTTAGGCTTTTTTTGAAAAAAATAAAAAATAACTAAATACAATTTTCCATTCTTATTAAAAATATGACTTTTTAGACCAAAACAAACTCACTTTTAGGGGATTATCCCTTTTTGCTAATCATTTTGGGATTATAAATAATATTATGAAAATGGAAGAATTATAAAATATTTACAAATAAGAAATCAAAAAAAGTTAAATTGGAGAAAAAACTATTTCTTATGAATAATTTGAACTTATTTTTTTATAAATAGCTATAAAGGGTTAATAGATATTCGATAAGGTATATAAATAAAGCTTTCTGGAATAAAACAATGTATAATAAGTAGCTGAAAGTGAAAAAATTTAATAAGATATAGCCAAAGAAGAGGCATGTAAATAAGATAGTTTAGTAAATTTGGACTAAGAAGGTGGGTTTTACTCTTCTTTTGACCTTCGAAATGTTTAAAACACAAGTTAAATAACTTTAGAAGGCTTATATCAATATTTGAATATACCAATCGAAAAAAATTAGTTATTAAATAAAATAAAAATACTTCAAGAATAAAAAAATAAGAAAAATTCAAAATAAAAAAATTCGTAAATGAAAAATAATAATAATACTAGTTATATACATTAATGTGCCTTAAAATAATAAAGGTATATTTAGTAATAATCCATCTTAAAATAAATATATGGGAAGAAAATAATACTAACCTTATTTAGAATAATCAAAAAAAAATTGAAAAATAAAAATGATTTTATTTGTATAATTTAGATTTAAATATATATATATAATATATATATTATATAGTATATATATATATTTATATACATATATATATTATTAATTAATATTAGTATTTTATAAATAAAATCAAAAAAATTTAATTTTTATATTATTTTTATAAATATTTTAATTTTATTTTGTTTTTTTGTTCAATTTTTTTTTATTTAATTTATTCCAATTGATATTTATCTTATAATATTATCTCTATATTTTTAAAGTGCTATTCTAATGTCTTAAGGCTTTTTTTTTACTATATCTATTTATTTTTAATAAATTAAAAAAAACTTATTCTTTTAGATAATAATAATAATAAATTAACTTATTAATAATTTAGAAAGTTCAAGTAATTCAGTATCATTTATATCATTATACCATGATTTAATAAAAATTGCATTTTCAGGCTATAATTAAAAGTTGTATTAATTATTATCTATTATTATTGTTTTTGATAAATCTCTACCTATGCATGTTAAATCCTTTAAATATTTTTCATATTTTTATTTTTGTTCTATTTACCTTAATATGATATTGATTTTGTGCTTTGCAATGTTTTCTATATAATTTATGAGAAATTAACTCTTTTTTATCAAAAGAAGGTATAATTGAATCTGCATACTTTTTTTTGTTTTTTTATAAGTTTTTTTTTTTGAATAAAAAAATATATACAAATTTTAATCCAGCAGTAAAAATAACAATTTCGTAAAAATTATATACTTCTTCTAAAAATTAGTTTAATCCTGGTCTTTAATTAAATTTTTTTATTCTTAATTCTATTTTTTATTTTATTATACATAAATTTAAAATATTTCTTTTTATAACATAATGTCCCAGAGTTTCGTCCAAATCTAAAACTAGAGTATAAGGTTTTTCATTTAATTATTTTTCTGTTCTTATTGGTAAATAAGGAGGATAAACTTGCTCTGTTTCTTCTAGTGGAATTTAAATATTTTCCATATCAAAAGCATAAGAAGAATAGGCTACATCATGCATTTCTTAGGCGGCATAAACATTCTTTATCACAGATTCCATTTGAGCACTTAACTTTTATGTCTTTAAATGATTAATATATAATTTAATTTTAATAAAATAAAAGTATTTACTGTAAGATGTATAGCGTCATTTATCTTTTATTAAATATTAAGTTCTTGTTTATTTATTTTTATTTAAATTACAAATTTTTAAAAATAATACTTTATATATTTTTGCGCTCTTTAATTAGAAAATTAACAACTGAAAAAATTGTTTTAAATTAGCAAAGAGGCGAATTTTTATTTGTAATTAAACTCATATTAATATTTCTATTTTTATAAAAAAATATTAAATTTATTTTATTATTACTTTATTATTTGATTTATGAAATTTTCTGATATTTAATTGTTTCTTTTTATTTCCATTAATAAATCGTTATTTGAATTTCTTATTAATTTTTCTTTTATCAGTTTTTATAGATTTACTTAATATATCTTTTTTTAATAAATAAAATAAATTTAGTAATTTTTTTGTTACATTTTCTTATGTTTAGTTTGGTATTTTACCAAGTATTTAACTTATTAGTATGAAATAATTCTATTAAGTCAATTATAAAAGATTAATTATTTAAGGGATTAAAGTTTAAAATAAACTCATTTAAATCAAAAATTGGTACTCATGCAATTTGTAAGAAATACATTAGAATAAAGATAATGAGCAAGACTTTGTTAAGAAATTTTAAATTATAGTATAATAATAATAATTTATTTATATTTCTTACATTCAATATAACACAAAAATCAATGTTTTGTTTCCATTCTTTATTTTAAAATAAAGTCTATTTTAAAAGTTTATTTTGTTTAAAAAAAAATATTTATTTTTGTTACGTTTAATCTTTCTAAATTTAGCTAAAAAAAAATATCCCAATATTATTAGAAATCAGGATAATTAATATATTAATCTGATTAATCTGAATTAGTTGCAAACTTTATTTTTTTTTATTTAAATTAGTTATTTTTATTTACATATAATATATGTTATAGTATATATTCTAATTAAGTTAATTTTTCTAAATCAATCTTTTTTTAATTTAATTATAAAATAATTTTTTTTAATTTTACAAAAAATGACTAAAATTGCGTTTAATTTTAAGATTATTCATTATTTATGTTTAAATCCTATTTATTTTATATTAAAAAAGTAATTGAATATATTTGACTATTATTTTAAAGAAATTAACATTTTCATAATAACCCTTTTAACTAAAATTTTTATATTTAGTAGATTTGTTATGTGAATGACTTAATTACATATCAATTATTGACATATTATTATTTTCTTCATTTTCAATTATTTATTAAAGATTTCTTTTTGCAATTAAAAAAGGAGTTTTTAACTAATCTCTTTCTCTTTAAAGCTATTTAATTAAAGGGAGATTATCGTCATATTTTTTTTTGAAATACTCTATATATGTTTTTATATATTTAATATTTTTTTTATTTAGAAATACATGTAAATCTATTTTATGAATCTTAACTATTTTTTTAAAATTAATTTATAAATTAAGGTAATTAAACTGAACTACTTTAATAACTTTTTTAACTGTTTCTGCTCATTTTGTAATTTTATTTTTAGTAATAAAAAAAAAGTTTTTTTTAATACTATTATAGTTAAGTATTTAAATTAAATATGATTATTTTTAATAAGTAAAATATAAATAATTTTTTTTTAAATTTTATACAAATATATAAATAAATAAAAATTATTAATTTTTATTTTTTAATTAAAAATATTAAATTAATATTTAAAACATACTATATAATTAATTTAAATTAAATATGTAAAATCATATATAAATTCTATTTAAATAGTAAACTTATTTAGAAAATTATTTAAAAATTTATATTTTTGTTAATATTCTAAAAATTTTAGTATTATTTCATTTTTGATATTTTTTTGTATTTAAATTAAATGTTGATATTTTTAAATTAAAAAAATAGAAAGTAAAAATAAAATTAATATAATTCTATAAATTAAAAATAAAATTATTTATGATTAAATTCATATGAGATGATTTTTTAGTTAACATAAAATATTATTATTAATTTGTTTTGCTTAATTCGATAATTTATTTTAATAAAAGTACTCATTCATTATATTTATTCGAAATGTATTCTTCATTTTATCAATAATAAAAATATGATTTAATTTATAATTTAGAAGTTAGTAAAATAAAGAATAGTAAGAAAATTCAAATTAATTTAAATAGAAGGTACATAAAATAAGCTACTAAATGAATAAAAATATTAAATACTAATAAAATAGTAATTTTAAAGAACTACTTATTTTTATCTGTTATTTTTAAAAATATAAATTAAAAAACAAATCTATATTAATAAAAATAAAATAAATGAAAAAATAAATAAAAATTAAAAATAAAAAATTAAAAAAATATATTAAATATATAAATTAATTTTTTAATATATAATTCTTTATACAATTAAAGAATAATTATACTTATAAAAACATAAAAAAAAAAAACTAAAATAAAATCATTTTTAATAGAGTAAATAATATATATTCAAATAATTTTTGATGAATAATATAAATTCTATTATTTCCTAAGAGAAATATAATAAATATAAAATAAACAATATTTTTTTAACCATAATTTCTTTAACTTACTTAATTTATAATGTTTTAATAATTTATTTAAATGAGACATAGAAATTAAATTTTATTTTAAAAATTTGCTTTTGCATATTTTTGATTATAGTAATAAACCTCTAAAACTTTTTTAAATGTGTATAAATATTTTTATGTAAATCTTTATTATTTTAGATGATATCTTAGTTTTTTTCGATAATATTTTTTATAATAATTTTAAATTTGGATATATAATTATCAGAAGAAGAAATAAATAAATTATAAAAACAAAGTATAGTATATTAATAGATGTAAATAGCAATTTTTATCTTAATTTTAACTATAAAAAATATTGGATTATAAATAATAATTATATGCATACATTAAATCTACTTTATTTATTATAGATAATAAATTTTTAAATAAGAAATAATAAAATAGATTTTCTTTTTCTTTTTTATTTTGATAACTTATTCATTTAAATTTTTATAATAAAAACAAAGATAAAAAAAAAAAAATTATAAACTAAATTTAGATTAAGTTTTAGCAAAAGTTTAAACTAAAATGATATTCCTTAAATACATAATATATAAAATGTAAATTTACCTATAAATATTTCCCAAATATATTAATTTAATAATTCTTAATTTAATATTTCGAGTAGATGCTTTAGTGATAGAAATCACGTTTTTAGTTAAGGAAATTAAACTTTTTAATTTTAAAGGAGAAAAAAAAGATTCACTTCTTAATTTTAGAAGCAAAATATGACAAATAGAGCTAATTTTGCTGGTACAAATACTTAAAGAGAGATTATATAGAAAAATCAATTATGTCAATTTTAATAAATATAATAAAATACTTAATAAAATTTTAATAATGAAACATTTATATAGGTTGGAATTCAAAAATAATAAAATACATCTAAATAGAAACCTTTATAAAAGGAAGTTCATTTAATGAATTTATCTAAAAATTATGATAAAATAAAAATTAATAAATAACTTGAAGAAGCGAAAATAACAAAAGAAAATGTTGTTTAAGATAATCTTTAAAAACCATAAAATTAAGAAAGTGCCACTTTAATATAATCTAATAAATTATTTTGTTATGATTTAAACAAAATATATTAAATTTATTTTAATTTTCTGCCTGAAGGGTAATAAAAAAATAATAAAGTTTATATAAAAAAAATATAATTAAATAAATAGTGTTATGATAATTGATTGCGAATTAAATTTATTATATAATAATAATTCAGTTGAATTAATATTTGGAACTAATTTCTAAGAAGAGATAAAAAGCTAATTTTTAGGCTTATAAAAAATCAAAGTAAAAGAAGAAATAGATTAAAACAGACCATAAAGAAAGAATTAAAAATCAAGTTTAGAATCTTTTATGACTACAAATCCTTTTAATTTTTAATATGAAAGTAAATTAGTGGAATCTTAAAATTTATAAGAAGATTATTATTGTTAAAATAAATTTAAAAATGTTAAAAAAGTATTTTTTAGTAATTTACATAAGACTTCTTAGAATTCGATAATTTTAAATAACGAATTATTAACTGAATATTAAGAAAATGTAATTAATATTAACCAAATAGAAGCTTAAGAAATTACTTTAAAACTTGAAATTTAAAATATAATTACTAATTTGAATAAAAAAATAGTTTCCTTAAATAATGAATATGAGAGTACTCAAATTTTAAATGAAAATATAATTTTTTATACGAAGATTGAATAAAAGAAATTTACTTTAGAAGATAATAATTAATTTAATAAAACTAGATAATTTTAAGTATCTTTATTTCCTTAAATTATTCAAAAAAATATTTACATATTTATTATGTTGAGAGATATTACTCATAGATTTTACATAAATTAATTAAAAATAGGAAACCATAATAAATAAAATACCGTTTCTTATTTATCTCATGAAATAAGAAACCCTTTAAGTTGCATTATAAATATTTTGGAGTCAACTTGTTTAGATTTAAATATTAAAACATAAGTGAAGACTTTTACAAACAAGTAATTGGAAGAAATAAATAGTAATTTAAAGATGTGTATTTTTAATTCAAAATATATATTAAATTTATCGAATGATTTTTTAGATATGGCAAGGTTAAATACCGATTAATTTAAAATAAATATTAAGCAATTCAACCTAGTAGAATTAATGAAAGAAGTTCAGAAACTTTTCCTTTTATAAGCCTAGAAATAACAAACTTAAATTGTTGTAGAAAACGAAGCTATTAACGATAACTAAAATATGATTTAGTCAGATTTCGAAAGGGTTAAATAAGTACTTATTAATTTAGTTTCTAATGCTTTAAAGTTTACTATTAATGGTTTTGTTTATATTTCAGCCAATTATGTGTCTGTCAATCAAATTAAAATTAAAATAAAGGATGCCGGAATTGGTATTGAGTAAGATAAAATCGAATAATTATTTAAAGCTTTTGGAAAAATAGAAAATGATTAAATGAATTAGAATGGAGTTGGGTTGGGCCTTTTAATTTCGAATCTTATTACTTATAAATTAAATAATTTAAACAAAGGCATTTAGGTTATTAGTGAATAAGGGAAAGGATCTACTTTTTCATTTTTTATTACTGATAATAGTAATAATGATTTTTAAGAAATGTAAAGTGATGCGTGTGAAAATAGCGAAATTTAAGAAAATAAATTTGTTTAATAGGTTTACGTGTTTGACTATTATACAAAACATTAAAATAATTTACTAATGAGAAATTCTTTAATAAAAAACTCTGATAATAATGATTTTTCGACAAAAACTGAATTAAATAATAAATAAATAAAAGTGCTTATTATTGATGATAATATATTTTGTTGTTATGCGCTTTAAAATATTATTTAAAAAATATTTGGTCTTTCTTGTACGTTTTCTTTAAGTGGCGATTAGGCTGTGGATGTTATATAAGATTAATTTTTTAAGTCTAATGAAGTTTTTTAATTTATTTTCTTGGATATTAATATGCCAAGGATTGATGGATTTTAAACTTGTAAATTAATTAGAGAGTTTTATTAGAAAGTGGGTATTTAATGCTTTGTTTTAGCTTGTACTGGGTTTGAATATAAATAAAGTAATTATGATATGAATAATAATTTTGATGATTTTTTAACTAAGCCTGTAATTAAAGAATAACTTATTTATCTTTTCAAAAAATATAATATTAAATCTATTTATTGATACTTTATTTTTTCATAATAATATTTGTATTATTTTGGTGTTTTTTTTATTTTAATAAAAAAAATATAATTAATAATACATAGTAAGATTTTATTTTAAAAAAAAATATATCTCAATTATTAAAAATATATATATATTTAATTTAATGGATTAAAAAAACACAAGTAATTAATAAAATAATGTAAATTACTTAAAGTATACTTCATATGCTAGTGCTTTAGCAGGAATTTCAACAAAATTTATAATACACCCATTAGATACATTAAAAAATAAAATATAAGTTAGAAAAAAAAAAAAAAAAATATCAAGAAAAATGTAAAAATTTAATAGATACAAACATAAAAATCGCATTTAAAAGATTTAAAACGCCATTTATTATTATAAAAAACAAAAGAAACTTTTAAAAATGAGGGAATTCGAGGATTTTATAAAGGAGTAGGAATATCATCAGTTAAAATAAAATAAAAAATAATAATAAAAAACATATAAAGTTAGGTTCTGTACCTGCATTTTCTTTATTTATGACTACATATGAATGGACAAAAAAGAAAATATCTTAAGATAATAATATTTTGAGTAAAAATAAATTCGTAATGCATATGATTTGTGGTTTTAATGCGGAATTAGTAAGCTGTATTTTATGGCTTCCTATTGATGTGATTAAAGAAAGACTTTAAGTTTAATAAAATATTAAACTCTATAATTATAAAAATTCAATAAATGCAGCCTATGTTATCATTTAAAAAGAAGGAATTTTAGGATTATATACTGTAATTTATTTTCTTTTATAAAAATATTATTGTTTATATGTGTAAAGGGATTTGGAGCTACACTAGTTTCTTTCGGGACTTCTATTGCTTTACATTTTGCCTTTTATGAAAAACTTAAAGGTAATTCTTTTTTAAAAAGAAAAATTAATTATTATTTTATATATATAAAAATAGAATTTTTTTGTGAAAATCCTGATAAGATTAGCTTTAGTTAAAGTAGCCTTTTAGCTGGATTAGCGGGTATTATTTCAAGTACTTTAAGTAATCCGTTTAGTATATCTAAATTAAGAATTTAAGTATAATAAATAGAGAGCAAAAATAGCTTCAGGTATAAAAATATATTTCATGGTGTTTATCTTATTCACACTTAAGAGGGATTTTTAGCACATTTTAAAGGTTTAAGTGCAAAAATTCTAACTAATACTCCTTAAAAATCTATTTCAATAAGTATAACAGAATATTTTAGGTAGATATTATTAAATAATTAGTATAAAAATATTTAAAATTGATATTATTTATGTGTAAACATAAAAAATATAAATATATATATATAAAAATATATATATATATATATATATATATATAATATATATTAAACAAATTTTTTTTATAAAATATATATTTTAATTGTCAGTCAATATTCATTTCAATCTAATACTATTCAAGATTTTTTCTATTTTTTTCCATTACTAATAAATATTAATCTTTACTTAAACCTTTATTATTGAAATAACTACCAAACTATTAACAAATAGCATTAACCTTATTAATAGTAGAATCTTTAAACTCCATTTTTAATAGAACTCTATCGATTTCCTAAAACAGTAATTTCTCCATCCTCGTTTTCATCTAAAATATTAAATATCATTCCTGAAAAAACATCCCATTTCTTCTAATCTTAAGAAATATATTCTAAAAATGAATTTTTTTGATTATTTTAAGCCTTATCTAAATACTCTTCCTTTGTAAATTCCAAATTAAAATGCCATATAATCTATAATATCTTCTGTACATTTTTTATTTTAATAATCCATTTTCTTGAATTCGTTTTCAGGTATTTTCGCCTTTAAAGCAATTCTCACATTTTCCATAATTTCTTCAAATTTTTTAAAATCGAATTCTTAAGCATCCTTTCCCCCAGCAATCTTTTTAAATAAATTATTCTAAAATTTCTTTAATTCGACCAAATCCTCATCATCTTCCCAATATGCTAGTTTATCCATGTTATTTTGCCATTCACTTTTGCTTATTTTTCCATCCATATTTTCATCTCTTATATCAAAATAACCTTTTATAAGATTTTCCATATTCTGTCTTCTCTTAATATATAGGATAGTGAATTTTTTCCTTCTTCATTTAACTCATCGACTGCTTTTGCTTAATATTTATCTTGTTCAACCATAAGTATATACCGTATATGATCATTAAATTCTAAAGTTTTTCTTAAGTTTTAAGCTATTATTTTATTCGTTAATAATAATTTCATTTTTTATTCTTCACTATATTTTTAATATATTGGCTTTTACATTACTTTCACCATATATTATTATCAACACTAAAAAAAATAATAATCCTAATGATGAACATATTTTGAATTGCTTTATTCCTGTGCTTTATTTTCTACTTCTTCCCATTTTTATCTTAATTTTAAATTATATATTAAATTAAAAAATTAAAATTTTCTTTTTAAATATTTTATATATATTTTTTCTATATACGATATATATAAAGGCTTTTTTATTTTTTTTAAATATATATAATAATTTTTATAAAGTTATTTAATTTTTTTATAATAAATCTTTTAATTATTATTTTATTTATTTTCTAATTTCATTTTTTTTTTCGATATACGTTTATTAATATTTTTAGTATATAAATCTATAAAACTGCTATTTGATAATTATTAAAAATATATTTATTAAAATTATCTCTTTAAATGTTTAGAATTTTAATATAAAAGAAATTAAAATTATCTTCTTTAGTCATTTTTATGAACAAAATAAAAAGCAAGGATAGTTTTATATATTTTTTAAAAATAATATTTTTTTTTTAACATAATATAAATGAAAAAAAAAATACAAAATTTTCTATTATTTTATAAATAATAATCATATATATTAAAATGCTTAATTCATTTTATTTAAAAAAACTAATGAGATTACTTATGGCAAAATTAAAATTAAGAAGGTAGCTTGATAATATTTTCTTTTTAATGACAACCTTCACATAAATATAAATTAAAGCATTCTTAACATTTTTATACAACACAATCAAACAAATCTTTCTGACAAGGAATATTTGAACATTTTAGCTATAATTTATAAATTAATATTTAAAATTAGAAATTATTTAAAAAAAAAATACTTTTAATTTATATTCTTAATTAGGTAATTCATTTACTATTTACAGTTTATGATCAGGTTTATGCTATTCATTTTATAATTCAGTAGGTTTACACTAGAAGAAACATTCCTAACCTTTTTTATAATATTTTTTAAATTAAAAAATAGATATATAATTTACAAATTCTTATTGAATTATTATTATTATTTTTGATATTTTAAATACTTATATTATTTACAGAATTATTATTAATACTTAACTATTAACAAGTAATACATGTAAAATAAATTCCAATAATAGGAATTTTATTGCAATTAGTGCATTAAATATTATAAAAAATAGGAATATTTTTTAAACTCTAATTATCAAGTTCATCCTCAACATGCTAAACTTATATCCAACCTTTTCTAATTTTGATATTTTAAGAAAAAAGTTCTAATTTTTTGCTTCCAGGCATTAAATAATCAACAATCTCATAAATTTCTTCTGGACATTAAATATTTTTTTATTCTTTTGCAAAAATAACATTATTTGATATTTTTGATTTATATTCTATTCTCTTAGAATTTATTTTTTTCTTTACTCCTACCATGCAAATTTATTATGAATTCAATAAATATTTATCCATTTTATTTTCAATACACATAGTACCTGATTCCTATATTTTAAATAATTAACTAATTATATACAAATATAAATATCTTTTTTTTACTTAATTTAATTTCACCCACACTATTTAATCAATTACTTCATATCCCCATTTACCCATAATTTCATAAGCAGTAGCTATTGGTAGTTCTTTTATCCAGAAAAATAAAAAGCCTTTATCTGATAAAAGTTCTACTTTTAAATCTACTATTTCGTTAACATTTAATACATCATTTATATTAGGATTTAGTAAAATAGCTTTTTTATATTTATTGATAAAAAATATATTAAATTTTTACTATAATAATTTACAGTCAAAATAGTCTATTTTATCTATAATATAACTAAAGTCAAAATATCTTATATCGCACTATATTAAATTTTATTTTTATTTTGTTTCTTCGTTTCTTTAATTATTTTTCTATTAATCCTTTTTTTATTCAAAATTCTTATTTAAATCATTTAAACTTATTAAATACGGATTGTTTTGTTATTAATTATTATTTTATTTATTATTATTTCTTGATTATCTAACTTATTTTAATTAGGGATTTTTTTTTTTATTAAATCTTAACAATTTCTTTGTATTTTTAATTTTAATAAAATTAATAATATTTAAAATTTTATAACTTTTTTAGAATTTTATCTTTTTTTTTTATTTTCTTTTCTTTAGTTCCTATTTAATCATCTTTTATTTAAAAATAAAATATTCAATTAAGCAAAGAAAAGATAAAAAAATAAAATTAGTAAAGTGATACCAAGTAAAATATAATAAAATTAAATTTTAGTTAAAATAAAATGGTTTAATTTAAAAAAATATTTATTATAAATAAATATTATATTTATATTTTTGTTAATTTTTACCAATGTCATATTTAATAAATTGTTTTCTTTTCCTTTTTCCTTAAAGTATATTTTATTGATTGTGATAATTTTTAACCCTTTTGTATTCTATTTTTTTATTTTATTCTTCTGAATTATTTTGATTGGAATAATCATCTTCATCTGATTCATCTGAATTCTAAATTTATCGAGTTAAATATTTCTAGATAAAAATATATATAATGTAAATTAATAAAAAAATAAATGAATATCTTTGCATACCTTTTTACTCATATTTGTACAAGAATCAACTTAACTTTATTTAAAAATTTAAAAACAATAAATATATATTTATATTATTATAATTATATTAAAAATCAAATTTTTTATTATTATTTATATATATTAATATAAAAAATATTATAAATCATATGTTTTTTTATATATTATTAATATAAAACAATAAAATTTATTTTAAAAAAAATATACAAATATAAAAGTGTTTGGCAAAAAATTTAAAAATTCCTTAAATGTATTATAATAAAAATTATTATTATTATAAAAATTATATAAATAGATAAGTTTTTTAAATTATAAAAATTAAAATATTTTCTAAAAATATAATTTATTAAAAATTAAATTTATAATATAAAAAAAAATTTATAAAAAAAGTAATTATATAAATAATATATTCATTGATAAAATAAAATAATATTATTGTAATTTAAAAAAAAAATGTATGTCTTAAAAAATGTATATATATCTAAAAAATAAATATAAAAAATTAAGAAACAAATAAATTTAAAATATAAATCAATAAAATAAACAGTTCCATTCTAAAAAGATCTATAAATAATAATAAATTTATAACTAATAAATAAATAAACAAATTTAAATTATAAATTATAATACCGAATATTTTAATATTTATAGAATGGAAAAATCTATAATAAATATAATATATCAGAATAAAATAATAAATTATAAAAAACTCGTTAATTATTTTTTAAAAAAATATATAATGTAAAATATTACACGCAAAAAACTATAATATATTAATTAGAAGAAAAAATATATTAAGTTTATAATATTTTATAAAATACCTTAAATAATTATATATATTTATATGTATAAAATAAAAAATATATAATAAAATATAAGTAAAAATATAGATAAATAAATTTAAAAATAAAAAAGATTTTATTTTTGAAATCTATTATAAAAGCATAAAAAAATATTAATATTTAGTTAAAAATTATATAATAATTAAAAAAAAGAATAATTTATAATTAATAATTAAAAAATAAAAATAAAAATTATTTAGAGAAATAATAATTTAAAGAAATAAATGTTGGAAAAAATAACTATTGCTAGTATAAACTTAAATAGAATATTATTAAGTAAATAATAAAATTTATTATATTAAATATATATATATAAATTTATATATATAAATAAAATATTATTTATTTATTTATTTC